TTTTTCTTTTTATTCTCGTGTTTATGCAGTTTTTTCCACGGTTTTTCCATGCTTGTGCCCGCGGCAGCTCCGCCTAGCATTCCAGGCAGACCTGTTGCTTTTCCACGCTCACCCTTAGCATGCACTCCTTGATGCTGAGTTTTAAAGAACATTTTATCCAAGTCTTCAGTTGTCAACCTGTTCGGCTATAATTTTAATATGTATTAACCAGTAATCTAAAATTATTTATTGATTTTATATTTACTTTGCTTGCACGGACTTCTCTTGCCGGTTGAACATGTCGTTCGGATACGACTTTTCTTTGCTCTTGAAAGGTGTGAAACTCTTCTTGCTTTACACCAACTGGCGCATGCACATACAACAATTTCCCGTTGATGTAATCCTTGAGAATGAATCGAGCACTTCGTGGATTATCAGGTTGACCGTTAGCAGTCATAAACCCACGATTATCTTAGAAACCAAACAAAATAATTCATTAAGATTAAAAAGATACAATTTAAAGTTATAAAGTGATAATCTTACATCCATAAGCATTTAAAAGCTCTTCCGATGTCGGTGGCCTATCAGGATCTTCACCTTCCATGGGCAGAGGCAACATAATTCCATAAAGATACTCGATAACATGTCTAGGAATCAAACTAGACACCAAATTCACAGGAGGAACGTGATCTTTCATCTGATCAATCGGTAGAATGCCATTTATCACCATCTCTGCCTTGGTGAATACAAAACTTGGCATTACTAAACCAGGACAATCACATAGCATAATATCTTTATCCAGAAACAAGGTTTGAAAGTGTTTTGTTTTGCCAGGAGTCGCCGAAACGGAAACTTTCTTCACAGTCATCAACGCATTTATTGTCGAACTCTTACCCACATTTGGATAACCGACCAATCCGATTGTTGTGATTCCTTCAGTTACTTTGGGACCGTGATGAAAATTTCTGAATAATTCAATTAACTCCTCTCTAGTGAGTAATTTATTTGAATTAATTGACTTCTTTTTGTTATCCGGGATATCTGTATCAGCTGCCAGTGTTGAAACGACCGATTGAACTTGTTCCAGGGTTTCTGTTAGTTTATCAGCAGTTTTTTCAACTCTGTCTTCAAGTTGTTGAACTGCAGTCTTAAGTTCATCAACATTGACATCTTTT